TGAGTGCAGCTTTTAGTTTGTCATATTGAGAGTCTGTAGGTTTGCTGTCTATGACATCGATAACCTCTCGTAGTACTTCCGTGGGAATTGCTGCTAATACGCAACCATACATGGCAATCTGCGACGTAATACCTCGAGCTGCAAACAACTGTTCAATGATTGTGAACCAGACACGTGGTTCAGCCAGATCAAATTGAGGTAGTCTTAAATCCGGCAAGGCGTTAACAGCAGAGTTCTGTGTCTCTTCGCCTTTATTACCTTCTTCAGCAACAGTGGTACGTTTAGGTGGAGCCATTGTCATATAATATATAAGTATAGAGATATACAAAATAGCAAAACTTGTGGTAACAAAAATTAAAGCAGTGCGAGTTTATAAGGCCAAAATAGCAACAAAAATGTTCAAAACGAGTTATCTATCGAAACAAAAAGGTTCGAAAACGGGTTAACCATAAAAAGGGTTCGAAACGGGCTCACCAACTATTGTGGGGGACCTTTCACTCTGTTAGCTTAGTTACCCAAATTCAAGTAGAAAATGAAATACCAAATCAGCTTAGTTACGGGAAGAATATATTAAAGTTTCGTTAATTGGGTTTACAAAGATCCAAAAATCCACAATAAACGTAATAGACTCCGGAGGCGCTGCGGGAAGACTGCTCCAGTACTAATTCTCCGATGTTGACGTTGCCGGAGGTCGAACAAAGTACGTAGGAAGAAACTACGGTGCTCCTGCAAAAATTTGGGATAGAAAGCAGGTGATTAAAATTGATCGACGGCAGCTGAGATGGTGGAGAAGACGGAGAGTCGAAGGCAGAACTATATATTTATTCAAAACCTGAGGTAAAGTTCAAAGTACAGAGTTTATGGTTAAAACAAAGTGATGTACAATATGTTCATTTCTTTCATAGTAGTAAAATTTGGATAAGTTTATTTTTGAGGACTCCACATGGGAAACGCATCATACTCAAACTCCCTTCTGAATATTTTTACTATCGTAAAATGAACCAATTGCACACAGCAAGATATAGAGTAGATGGTCACTCTAATCCATATAATAAATCTCCCATAGATAGATCCATTTATGTAGCTGCTATTTGGGCTCCCCACATTATGTGGCTCACTTTCGAACAGACTTTTCGCGCTGAGAACCTATGGAATATTTCAGTCAAGTGAGCTCTCCCCATGAATGAGATCAGCAAGTAGAATACAGTTTTAAGTTATGTGTTGACAAGGAGGGCTTTAAAAAAGACTAGGTTTTCTTACTCACTTTCATTTTTATCAATCTGTATAAATTCCGTGGACTTAGTGGTTTGGGTGAATCCCACAATTTCGATTGTTACTGAGGCGTGGATTACCTCTAATATGGATGATACAATTTCCATGGTCGCGTCAGAAGGATGAAATAGTGCCTAACATTCATGATTGATTCAATCTTCGTTCACGATGATACTGATATGTGAAAATCAACCAATTGTAAAAGTATTTGATGGACGTAATTCTTTTTATTCTTGTGTAATATCGAAGTTTAAACTTTAAATCTTCTGATTGGGTATTAGGATACATCAAGAATATTTAAGCCACATCATGTAGGCCGGAAGTCCACCTCACCTCCAAAATCTTACCAGAAAAGACTTTCCTATGAAAATAATTACTCAATTTAGATTGACAGCTTGTAATTTTTGCAGGATATTTCTTGTGTTTTTAAAGATTTACTTTCAGAAGCACCGTTGTGTCAGTGAAGCGGGAATCCCCGGTAAAACGAGCCGAAGTAGTATTCACTGTTCAGTGGGTAATGGAAGCCTTCCAAATCTTGAGAAAAACATCGTTCCTACTTGGTTACTCATCCCATCCTTCTGAATTCCTCATTACCTCTGAGCTGTAGGAGCACCAAACCAGCCTACCACTGAAACGAATTTTCCAGAGACGTAGGTTATCTTAGCCCATCTTCAAGAGTTATGTCTATGGCTCTCCGCGAGTACACCAGGGAATCATGACGACAGATGGCGATGCCGAATATGTGTAGTACAACTAATTCGGGCCAGGTATTGGCACGAATTGATCAGTAGCAATGTGTCTGATTGTAGTAGTGGGCGAAATGGACTCGCAACTCGTGAAGGACTTCATTTAACCAATCGCTGTAGAAGCACCCAGCTGATAATTATCAGCAAGCATGATATTAAGGTTAGGAGCTACATGCTGAATAACTCCAATCACTTGACATCAGATATGCATTGTATCAGACCAGCCCAATCTTTCAACTAGAGCTGAAATACATATTCGGAGGAAGAGGGGCGAAAAATACTAGAACTCCTCAAGAAAAACTCATTAAACGATGTTTTGTAAACGTCAATCTCACAAGACTAGTTGCTTAGGCTTCTTGGAGGGCCTTGAGCTCGCATCTAGTTCGCTTCAACTGGAAGTGACACTCTCGACTGCCATGTTGTCGTCTATCCCGCTCAACTTGTGCCTCGGTCACACTAAGTGCCGACTACTTAGCCTGGCTCACCTAACCTTGTGTCCGTGCTTTCCTTAACATCGCCCCAACTAGTGAGGGGATAATATGGCACTTGCGGCTGCTCGAAGGTGTACTTTCAGCAGTGATATGAACAGGTTACATAAATGCACAATCACGCCATCATGCCACCGCTGAGCTCTTGTACCTTGAAAGTCATATTGAAGACTATGTCGTTATCCTCGCGGATAAACGAACTGACCACTGGTGATGGAACGATTGACTTAACCAACTATTTTTCCGCCGCACTTCTCGCTGCCTTTATCGTGTCGTTTTACTTTGTCATTTGGTTTCAGTGTAAAATTTTCTAAACTCATCACTTTCTTGAGTACAATGGTTGTGATGCTTTTCGAGATGCTATTTATGAGTTGTGACGGATATATAAGAATGGAGAGGAATATGGTGAAGTCTTCAAGGCAAACGGATTACCAGTTGCAATTCCGTATGGGAACAAACTTCGTTCTGTGGCGCAACCATCCGATTGATTGTTTAATTTTATTTCTTTAAATTTTTCATTTTTGATTACAGCTAGATTCCACACTGTATTTTTGGTACAAGTATGGATATCGGCAGCCCAAGTTTCGCAGGCCGACGATAGGTATCGGATGTACGTCGGCAGGGGATCGAACCTCAGACCATGTGGATGGTCGGCGGGAGTCCTAACCACTGTGCGACCGACGCAGCATTTAAAGCATTTTTAACACGGTGCGCCCTTGTTTCAGCTGCAGAATGTTCGTCGGTCCTGTAGGGTTTCCGTAGTAGGCTCAGAAAAGTGAGATTTGAGCGTGACTAGCACCAGTAGCCCGTAAAAAACATAAACGCTGCTAGTGAAGCTTCAGAAATTGACGCCCCCTCTTTCACTTGGAGGGTAATGAACTGACTCAAATTTCAAAGTGGATGTTATCCGTCTGGAGCATTCGGTCTTCTTCTTAATTTCTCAACCAGTGATGTGTTTGGGGCAATAAATTTCACTCCTGTGGTGGCGATCGAAATAGTCTTTATTCAAAGAACAAACATCAGTTTCTATGTTAGTTCTCTAGATAATTTACATATCTAATTTCGAAGTGTTATTTGTAATATTAAGGCGGTAGTTTTACTGATGATGTGTACATGCTGATTAACGAGAAAGCATTTCCCGAAAGTTTTAAGAGTTGTCGGTTCTGGGTTCACACAACATAATCTGTCTTAGTGTCTGCACAATGTGTTAACTGTAACTTGATCTATTGATATACATGAGTAATTAATGGTGAAGTAATTTTTAATGTAGGATACCTGAATGTGTTTTGAAACACTGTTGACTGTTGAAGATATGACAACACAGGATATACTCACTGGTAAAATAATTTATGAAACCATGTGGAGCTCATGGGAATGTTTTTTAGTAAAAGTCATGGTCAGGTTGGTTAACCTTAGCAGGAACACTAGACCGGAAAAATATAAGTTCCAGGCGCGATCCCCATATAAGCTCCAGAAAATCCCCAGAGATCTCGAATGAAATGATCACATCATTATTGCAGAGCAGGAGGACAAGAGAAGGCGTCTACCAACTAGAAGGAAGACTGACTTGTTAAAATCTGATGGGAACTAATCCTTTGAGAGAATATATGCATTATCATGTTTCCGTCTACCTTAACTTTCAACACTTATGCCAGATCAGTGCCTCGATATAATTTAGAGTCTTTACTTGATGCTTAAACGTTTTCAGTAGGCTACCCTATAGTTTTGTCAACAACTACCTCCGTCATCTGAATACTAAAGGTCAGATGGTTAGCCGGAAAGGATGAGTGATAGAGTACTGCGACAGGCAATGAATCAGTCAGCAACATACAATTTAACAAATATGAAGAAGGAAACCTAGTTGGGTTGAATAAAGATGCGACGCAGCATACCATGCTCTTTATCAGAACCATAAAGGAATCAACGAATTGGTCGTGTGTGCGTCAGACTGAGCCAACTACGTGAGTAGGAGATGAAAGCTTGTGGCCGGTCTCGTATATTCTATTTATTTTTGATTTATAGCCTGATTCCACACTGAATTTCGGTACAAGTATGGAATTTTCAGCATGGATATCGGTAGCCCAAATTTTGCAGGCCGACCATAGATATCAGATGTGCGTCGGCAGGGGATCAGACCTCGGACCATGTGCATGGTCGGTGAGAGTCCTAACCACTGTGCCACCGACGCATATATATAGTTGGAGACGATGACTGGTAATACAGCCGTATGTTTCACCCTGAAGATATGGAGTGATTAGAAAATATAAGTGATGCAATCATAGAAACAACAGCAGTTTTATTCCACAGTCAAGACAACTTGCTTGACTCTGTGTGTCATAAATACGTCTTCTTATGCCTGACCGCAATTTGGGCAGCTTTGGCCTTACTCAAGTACAGGCTATTTTCAAACATCATGCGAATGCACATGCACAAAGAAAAAGCTGAATTAACCTATCACTAGCCGCATTTTGTTATAATGCATGAAAATAGGTTCGTTTGCTTGAACTTGTAATCAGCGGCAATATAAATGTGAGGACTAATCGTATCTGTAATAAATTGTACCACTTTGTGACTCAGAGAAAAAAGGTTCCACAAGATGAATTTGCATGCCTACTTTTGGTGCGATGAGGTCTCAAGTGTTATAAACAATAATGACAGGGACGAAATAAGTTTTCGCAAAAGTAAATAGTCTCAAGCAAGATTCCGAATGCTGAAAACTGCCGAAAAGATCGCAATCAAACTTGGTTTCAAACGTCCTCCACAACCTCCACAACGTTTCATACCTGTTGGACCAGCTTCCAGAAAACAATTTCCAGTAGAAGGTTATCCTTTAAAAAAGTTATATGGAACAAATAAGGTGACAACAACTAAGTACACATGGTATGGATTCTTTTTCCAAAATCTCGGAGAACAAGCTCAAAGGATTGCGAACTTTTACTTTATAAGTCTTGCAGTCATCCAGCTTTTCACTGATGCACCTGTTGCTCCAGTAACTTCTGTGATTCCACTAGTTTTTGTACTTCTTGTGACTATGATCAAGCAGGGGTACGAAGACTTTTTAAGACTTAAAGCAGATAGAGAGATAAATCATATTCCTATTGAAATTGTCACGGAAAGTGGTCACTTGGAGACCGTCAAATCAATGGAATTGGAAGTTGGCAATATAGTACTATGCAGAAACAATACATCTTTTCCTTGTGATATACTTTTACTTAGCTCCAGTGAACCAAGTGGAGAATGCTTCGTAACTACTGCAAGTTTGGATGGTGAAACAAATCTAAAACAGTTTGTGGCTATTGAGCATACAAATGCTTATGATACACCACTGTCACTTGCTACTGAATTAAAGGCCTATATATGTTGCCAGCAGCCGGAGGAGGACCTGTACAGTTTTAGTGGACGCATCTGTGTCAAGAATTCAAACGACAACTCATCTACTCTTGATTATCCTTTGGGACCAAAGAACTTACTGCTGAGAGGAGCATGCCTCCGAAATACAGATTATATTTATGGCTGTGTTGTTTACACAGGTCGCGATACAAAATTGGCCTTAAATTCAAAGGGGAAAAAGACAAAGTTTTCACAAGTCGAAGGGAGACTCAATTTCTACCTTGCTTTTATACTTGCGTTTTTGGCCCTGTGTGTAATAATTTCAATCACTTTGAGTTTAGTCCTAGGTCACCCTAATACATGGTACCTTCCACCAGAAAGGAGAAGTATCTGGAGTTTCTGCCAAGAATTCCTGGGATTTATTGTTTTATACAATTACATCATTCCAATTTCATTATATGTGACGATTGAAATACAAAAGTTCATTGGTTCTCTATTTTTTGAGTGGGATTTGAATCTTTATGATGAGAGAATAAACGAGAGAGCGAAGGCTAATACATCGGATTTGATTGAAGAAATGGGACAGGTAAGCTATATTTTCTACATTTTTGACATCTAATAGCTGTTTGTGTTAGCAAGAAGATGTCACAAAAATATCTTGTCTTGAACCTCCATTCATTTTAATTAAAAATATCTACAACAAACTCACTAAAAAACCTGATTTTCACAGTTATTTGACTTGTGTATTTTAGTATTTAGTTACTTAAAACTTTTATTCACGCTCTAACCGCTTAATTTGCTGAAGGTATTGGGGAAGTCTGAGAAGAAATCTTACCACATATTTCTAAGTTAAAACATATATTTTCAGGCTATTTGAGATCAATGGGTAAGCAAAAGAATGTGTTTGATGAATTTGTTTATATCGAGAAGAGAAGCAAAGTCAGTGCACTTCAAAAACGCCTTTTAACGAGATTATTCTACTGCAAAATTCAGGTAAACATCTTTAAATCCATTCACTTGCAGAATGTGCTTTCCACTAGTTAAAGCCCACTGACCAGGTTTGCAGACTTACTTGTAGCCGGGATGATAAATCCTTTAAAAGTTAAGTGAAGCGTATAGACCTTTTTTCAATAAATTAGAACTTTGGAGAAAATTTAAGTTAGTCTTTCTCATTTAACTTTTGATGTTAAAAGAAGCTAATTTTGGTTTGTTGCAGCCAAAATTAAACGTCTCGCCTTTGTACATTTGTGGTAAAAGAATAATCTTTGATTTCTTAAGAACACACTACATAAGGAGATTTAAACAGAATTTAACTTAAATTTTCAAAGTAGGATGTTTCGTACCAAGGCTAAAGTTCTGGAAGGATGGTAACACATCTTAGACATATGGTGGCAGGCTGATGGTTAAATCGTTCATCTTGGGGAAAACAATGGCACTAAAAAGGTTTCATTTTAGAAAAGGTTTTATTCCACTAACGGTATTTCCACGGTGAATACAACTAATATTACTGAAGTTATTCAGTGTAAACAATTAAAGCAGACGCCCTGAAAACGCTCAAAGTAAAAATTACTTCATTTCCAAAATATCATTTAAGTTACATCTATGCTTATTGTATACTAGTGCTGTACTCTCTAAACTTTTTCTTCAGAGAACTAGGTAGACTGCATGTCACTTCCCAAAAAACGAAAACGCCTAATATTAGATTTCAGTAAGGTTTTGAACTTAAGTTTGATGTTTTTTAACTGGACTCTCCGACAACGTTAGATGTGCACCCTACTAATGGTTAGAAGACATATTCTAAGTCCTTACCAATGACTGACTATGTAGTGTCGAGAAACTACGCAAAAGTCTACAAGAATTTAATACGATTTGGTGCGCAGTTGTGAACACCTGCCTCAGATGTTCACGTGAACTGTTTAAAAAGTTGTACTCCAAATCACGTGATATGTACCATTTTGTCTTATGCAGTTTGCAAGTGAAATTATAGAGTTCTAATAATTGTCATCACTGAATTCGGCAATTACCGCCACACCTTGGTAAATATTATGATAAAAACTCTCATGCCTTCTTATTCTTTATTATCGGCTTGTGGATTAAAGCAGAATAAGCTATCACGAAATAGCATAACAAAGAAATCAAAAGAGTTACCATTCCTCTTGTGACAATTAAACTAGTAATGCAGTTCGCACTAGTAATATTCATTTTCAGTTGACTGACCTTGTTAAGACTCTTCATTTATTCATAAATAAATGAAATGAAGACGTAAATCAAGCCTTCAGCGGCGAAAAACTCCCTGTTATCTCAAACTTAACTCTTTGGAAGTAATCTTTCCTATAGATAGTGTGAACTATGTGGAGTAAAAACTATGACCAGCTTCCACTTTATCTGATGTTTAAACCACCTCGTCTGAAATGTGTTTTTTCAATAAATAAACCCCTAGTATTTTATTTCAAAGAGTCTTGACAGTTTAAGGTGTCAGTAAATTATGGTCTGCGTTATTGGCACAGTGGTAGATTACTCTCCAATCACACAAATGGTTCAGGGTTGAATTCCCGGTAGACGGACTCCTTTACCTAACTAAACTAGTAATAAATCTGGTAAAGAGGGAAGGTTGGTTGTGAGCCTAGCAAACCTATCAAACCCGTCAAAAATAAATACTATTGCTACCGAAACTTCAAGCCTTTAGCTTGAAGCTCTATGTTCCACTGGGAACGTTAAGCAATAAAATAAAAATAATAATAAATTACGACATTAACAAGCAATAACATTAAATATACCTTTTTCGGTAGAATGCAGGTTTCATAAACGGCAGGAAATGTTATGTACAAATCACACCAGCGACCATGAAAATTAGCTTGGAGTTTATTATGTCACTAAATATCCCTAGCGAATTCATGTTCTCACGCTGGATATCGGTCACACAGCAGCAAAAGGGTGATAAGCGTTAAATGAAAATCAGGTGGCTGCATAAGTTACAGTCTTAATAGCAAACAAAGCACTGGTATAGCATCGACTTGTTAGTTTTAGAAGAACTCTGATGAGTCACTAAATATCGTACTTGGGAAGTTTCGTTCATAAATTTGACCCGAAATTCTCTCTAGTAGGAATAATAGTAATAGTAGTAGTATTCGAAGTAGTGGTAGTGATCATAGTAGTACGCCACTCAGCTGAAGACAGTTATCATGACCGTCAATCAGACTGGTTCTACCGTTATTTCATTTTCTTGAGAGCGTAATTCACTCGAGACAACTGAAGTCTTAAATGTCTGAAATATCAATCAGCACTGCATACTCCAGTCTCAAGGTCAATCATTTTATCAGCTATATACTCTAAATTTGGTGAATTGTCGCAGTTGAGAACCCCCTTATTTGCTATAATCATTTGTAATTCATATCACATGTCGAAGCGATTCATTTAAAATTTGCCTTTCCTTGAGCATTGCTCGTTTTTTGTTGGAAGAGGAACTGTCGAGGATCACCAAATCTTCTACGAATAGAAAACATCAGTATTATTCAGACGAATATACAAGTTATTGAATTTAAAAGTCTTGTGTAGTGAAAAATGATTCCATGTTCTTAACGTTGCCTAGTTTTACCAGCGATTGCACAACATGAGATTATCTAATTTCGCTAAACACGCACTTATAAATCACGCTGGCGTCTGAAACAAATAGCGTCTTTAATTTATATTTGTTTATTTTTTTTCCAGTATACAAGTTTCAAGAACAAAATTTTTCAGTGTGATGCAAAGTTTTACATCCACTTGAAATATGACTGGGCTAATAGCTTATATGATGTTTAAGCCGGACAAATAGATTCGTAGAACTGGTTGTTTTTGCACACTGTTCAGAATACATTTCATTGAAAAAAAAATCATACCTCATTATTTAGTTTCAGCTTATATTTCTTCCAAATTTATTATAGGCAATAAACAGTGAAATTCATTTTTGTTTAAACAAAGGTTAAATCTCCATTACACATACACTTCACCTATTAAGTCTAATCTGCTTTAGAAGACAAATTAGTCTATTAATGAAGAGATTCATTGATTCAATGTCTTTTGACTAGATATAACTGACGTACAAAGAATAACATTTAATATCGTGTTTAACGTGAATGTATGACATCAATAAACTTGTCTAAGTGTTATTTTCCCACACATTACTCATCTCAGGTATGTTTTAAAATAAGTAAATTAGACACTTCATTATGCTTTTAAAGATTTGGTTTGTAGGAATTTTATGTTTTCAAATTTTAAACACGGATTGATATCAGTTGGGAAACCATTGAAAATCAGTAGGGAGTACTGGGCAGTTGTTTCGGCCTAGTTTGAAGCGCAGTACACACCCACTGGGGTTCGAACCTAGGAACTTCCAGTTCGAGTTCTTGGACTAGCCACTGAGTCGGATCCCAGTAGCTTGCCTTGTAACCGGAGGACATGGGTTCGAATCCTAATGGACGAGTGCTTCCTATGAGTCACAAACCAGGACGAAACAGCTCTCCGGCAGTCCCTGGCGGCTATCAATGGTTATCTAACTGATATCAGTTCGTGACCAAATTTGAATGCCTCAGTATGTACTCATTTTAAATTCATTGAAGGCATTTACAATCGCTATTTGAAGCTTTCGAATGAGTGAAACACTTTCATAATATTTCTTATCTATTTCCTCAGTGTTTATCGATCGACCGAAGGTGAGTACTATCTTGAGCCTTGGTGGTTCGTGGCAAATATGGAGAAGTTAGTGGCACCACCAATACTAAAGACTAGACAGATAACATTGGTTATCTCGTACTGACTGATAAATGTATAGAATAAAGTCCAACAAGAGGTCAGGAGTAGAGCCGAATAGTTCAGTTATGATGTCTTTTATTGCAGTAGTAGGTGAAATGGATTCCCATCTCATAGAGGACATCAAGTGCTTCAGGGTTGTAGATGCGCCTTGCTGATGAGTGCCAATAGGCACGAAGTCTAGTTTGAGAGCGAACTACTTCTAATCATCCAACATCAGATATATTGTACTTCAACTAGACGATATCTTGCTTATTTTTAAATTAAGTATCCGAAAGCTGAGCTCTGCATATATTTAGGAAATCTCATGGAATCATTTGTCATCATAGAATTTTCTGTGAATGGTAGTTTTACTAGCTAATTTTGAGTGAAGTATTTCTATCTTCTCTTGTTTTAGACAAAGATTTTTTTGCATTGAACAATTTCGTAAACCAAAGAGGGATACATGTAGCTTCGAGTCCTAGACATCAATGGTACTAGTGACGGTGGTATTATCTTTTTTGGAGGGGGGAAGCTAACCTTACATTCACTTTTCCTTTTTTTCCGAGCTTATCGCTAACTATCCGAGGTTTAGGAGTGCGTCGGCCGGGAATTGAACCCTTACTGCTTCAGTGGTTGCTGGTAAGCATTTTACCCCTGGACTAATAACACATTTGGAAAACTAATGTAATCACAAATAATTATTTGTTGGGTGTTCTAGTAGTTCTATATGTGTTCGTTGGTTTGTAGCAAGACTAACCAAGTAAGATTAAATTAGCACCTCACTGAATACTTGCATGACAGAATAATGAACTGAAT